ATCATCTTTTCACGGGTCTTTTCCAAGCTTTGGTGCATGGTGAATATCTGGTTAATGGTTGACATACCAGGTCTGAAGCCACACCGATAAGGTCCAATCAGTTTGTTGGCGTCTTCACACAATACGTTCGACAAAACCTTATTGGCGATACTAAGGAGACTTATCCCACGATAATTGACGCAGACTGTGGGGTCCCCTTTTTTTTGGTGGTTACCACAATTGCGGCAATATAGTCAGTCTCATTACTTAATTGTCACACCTTGTATATCTCTGTCCAAACAGTGTCCAATTATTATCTCCTGTGGGTTTAAGAATTTACCAGGCGATAAGCCAATCGTAAGAGGCGACTAAATCTAATAGTTCCCGCGAAAGTCGGGTCTTTCTACCGGAATGAACCGGATTTTCATCCGGCCAACCACTGTCTGCCCCGTAACATTTATGTGGTTACAACAACAACAAAAACACTCTGGCTGTTATACTCTTGGTGTACGTCTAGAGCAGATTTTACAATAGTTCCGATTGTAACCCTTCTTGCTAGCTTGATAGCTACGCAATGTCATGGGATGTCACTAGTATACAGTCGAAAGTTTTTTTAAGATTTCCCCACATCTATTGCCACCTTTAAGGTGGTGTGATAACAAGGAAGAGATTTAAAGGCGGCTTGGCTGTCAAAATATATTGTGATAGGTTGAGATACTGATACTGAGTTTGAGAGCTGAGTAAGCATGAAGCGGTTTCCATTATTGCAATTAGTTCAGCTTGAGCAAGCATTTTCCAGGAGCCGCCATGAAGATGGATTTGGATATTTGAACCAGTGCTGAAACCTTTTTTTTTCCTAGGTGTTGCCAAAACAGTTTAGTACCTGCAAATATTAAAACTTTGAAAAATAAGCGAACGAGCTCACTCTGCTCGTGAAGAATTTCTTAAGAAAAATACAAAGCTTCATTATATCAAATTTTCATATTGAAGCAGAGATTCATTTCGTTGCAAATCCTAACAGTTTTTCGGTATTAATCTGCATTAGCTTTGGTGGAGGTGGCATTGGCAAGCAGCTGAATTAGCTTTGGCCATTATTTATGTGCAGCAACAGTAGCAGCAGCATAAAAAAATTCTACACTGAGAGGAGGAAGAATAAGAAAAGGATATTTTTCCTGTCGTGTTAGGCGAAGACACACACTTAAATACATACTCGTACATATGAATGTACATAGCAACAAATCTCTCTGTTATTCTAATAATGTTTTCTATTTTTACACTTTTCTCATGATTTGCGTGAAAATAAGTTGTGAGACGCTGTAGTTTGTATGATTAGACAACAAGAGGCTACCAAAGCCATTGCAGTTTTACAAATATGTACATACGTATATACCTACAGACATATATTCCAGCGATATCAATGACTTTTGGTGAATACTTTTGCGTTGAGTTGAGCTAAAAATACATTTTTGTATATTAAAAAAGTTGTTAAAAATGTATATACATATGTACATAAATGTATAAATTTATGTATAGGTATGTATAAATATGTTTGGAAAAGCGTGCACGCTTTAAAAACATACACAGCTATCTATGTGCATATGCATGTGTTTGTATACATATACTCGTATGTATGTATATGTATATATGTATGTATGTATATTTTTTCTAAAGCGTCTACCCTCAGTTGGCATTCACTGTTATGTCCATTATCTGCGCATTCATAAACCATGACAAATAATTCTCCATGGAAGTACGACATAACTGTAGTTTGGCCAGCTATGTATGTATGTACCAGTTCACTTTAATCACATATTCACACCCATTCATTTCAATAAGATTTATGTATGTATGTACATACGTATGTACAACCACATGTGATCAAATGTTGAAATGAGTGCAAGCAGCAGGTTGGTATTTCTACTTTTTTTTTATTGTTGTTGTACATCCTTGCTACCGTTATTTAACGCGCCATCTCAGCAGTTATTATGTGTCTTATGTAGTCACTATTCTTTGTTGTTGTTTTTGTTGTTAGTCGCAGTCTAAGGTTATGCAGCTTTTACGGTAATAGTAACGGTATATCATCTGCGAAATTATTAAGATTTGACTTTGTGTGCGGCGAAGGTAGTGAAGAAAATGACTACTGGATTAGAAGCTTTGTAGCGAGTTTAAGTATTTTTAAAGAATTTCTGGATTTTAGATTTCTCTTTATCAAAACCAGACTAGGAAATTGGGAAGATAACGTTCGGGAAGCGAATTGTTAGTGAAATTATTACAACAAAAGGTAATAATTAAGTCTAGAACTTATGCGAACATTCGGGTTCTCATGCTCGACCACAGAGACTTGTTGTTGTTGAGATTTATCCGTCTTCACCAGTAGGGCCGATAGCAAGTAGCGTTAGGAAAGCACATGGAATTTGACTAGGTAGTTCTGACCGTTGCTTGAACAGAAGACAACAAAATTCTTCTTCGCTAACATCATAACGTTAGTGATAATCGGACACTACCTGGCGGAAACTCACGGCAAGAGGATGTATTAATTTCTAGCAACTTCTGTTGCAAATGCAGAGACCCAAAGGAGAAGAAGTCTGCAGAGAAAAACACACATATGTCACTGTCCGGCTCCAAAGGCTGCCTTCTCGGAAAATGCTTACATCGTCTGCCCGACAACAGAGTTAGCTTCAACAAGTTTCAGAAACCTTGCTGACCACTGAATGTTCTTAACAACTAGAAAAGTGAGAGGGATTGTTTTCGCAGGTGTAAAATTGGTATGACAACGGGTTGGCAGTACTCGTGTTTCCCTTATAATTAACTAAATAATTCTATATCTTATGCGATCAATAGTTGGCCAAGAAACAACCCTGGCCGAATGCTTTGATGATATTAGCAAGTTACTTAAACCATATCATAAAGATAGGAGTTTGTCATTATGTTATGAAGATGATTTCGGGCTTAAACAAATTATAGCCGAGAGAAAACTTTTTGCAGCAATAACGCGCCTAATATTCACTTTCAAGGTGTCTGTGTCTCGGGCTTATCTCCGTAGACAAGTGCCTTTTCATCCTAAAGCGGTGTTAATCGGCACGTTCTTGGAGGTCACAGATCCACGAACCGAGATATTGCGCTCAACAAAAGTTTTCCTCGTCTAATTGATTTTTTCGTATGACCTGTAGCACATGGGCATGGACCCATAAAGCACTTCCAGCAATGACCTTTTTCGGGATGTAACGTAATTTGAGGCTACCATACAACTGCAGCGTTTCCAAACAGAACTTTTTACAATCACCAAAGCCGCAGAATGCAGAGTGGTATATCTTGCTACAAGCCAATCTATCAGTATATACTCGGAGAGCCAACCTGTCAGACAGATTTGGCTTGTTTTAGACGCTAAAAATCAGGAGATCTAATCCGCCTAGATCCGTTCACCATTTAAATAAAAACGGTATGCCCTAACTGAACCCTGTTTAATAGGAATTCAGGGTACTTCAGGATACTTTGCCAATGATTTTTGTCGTAGCTACAGGGAGGAAGAGGAGGAAGGGTCTGACGACCCCCATCTTCCTCACTACCCACCCCCAAGCATTATGAGATATAAATACCTAGGTCATCACTACTTTGAATGCCTGGCTGACGTAGCAACGCACAACGCATACAAAATAGTTCATATCGTAATGAATCTTCAGACCTGAATATGCTGGTCGCTCTGATCAGTAACCGCATTAACTCAACTCAACTCAACTCAATGACGCCTTAACAATGATTTGAGGATTGTCGACAAAATTGTCGCAATTATTTTATTTATTAACGTATTTATTCAACCAAAAGTGAGCTTCATTACTGTACACTCTGCGGTCGTTTGGTCGTTCGTCTGCCATTTTTGCACGAGTTGAACTTTGTAAGCCCGCAAACCAAGGTACGTTTTGAAATATCTTCCATAAGTTGGATAGGCACAGCTCGAATTATTGTGCGCAATGGCAGATGAACTCATTTAGACCTTCCCCTTCACAGCAGAAATAGCTTCTTCGGTGCGCATTGAACGGAGTCTCTAAAGAGCGTATTCGATGGGTTTACAAACAAAAAGGAAATGAAGTAGCGGTAGCCGAGTGGTTAGCATTGCGTACTGCCATTCGGAAGGCTCGGGCTCAAATCCCTGTGCGACCAACATCCAAAATTTATAGAAAATTGATTTAAATAAAAAATTAAGCCAAATTTTCTAATTGCAGTCGCCCCTCGGCAGGGTATTTCAACCCCTACGAGTATATTTCTGACATGAAATAAAGGCTCCTCATAAAAAAACCATCAGCCTTTCGGAGGCGGCTTAGTATAGACTGTAGGTCCCTCCATTTGTTGGAAAAATATCAAGACGCAAAACAACAAATATTCTGAATTTTTGCTCTAAATTTTTTCTCATCTTCAAAGGGCTTAAATATACCCAAATCACTTATTTCTAAAACAAAAAAAAAAAAACCTTTGCTGTCGAATATTTTAGGCTACATTTTGCGCCTAGAATTTTTAGCAAACTTTCTTTTCTTTCTTTTCAAAAATCTCCTGAATTAAACGAATTTTTCCCGTTCGATGACAGCTGACATACAAAAAGTCCCGCTATAAATATCCAACATACTATATTTGAGAAGAGGAAAAGTCTCAACCTCCCGCAGCAAAGCGTAGAAAAACAAAAGTGCAACAAGTTTGCGGCAAATTGTTATTTATGAGTTCTGATATTTATCTACTGTGATGGGCGATTACGTTGCGGTTGTACTTTTAAAATAGACGCTAAATGCTTTAATGTAACTTTAAATTGATTTTGACGGCACTCAGTAAGTGGTGATGGCGATGGCAGTCAGAGACTTAGTACATATACATTACATATGTAAATACTTACTTAATATTGTACATACACACTTCGTTTTCTTACACGTATAATATGTACATTTGTATGTGCAATTATATATATATATATATATATATATAATAAGTTTTTAATACTTTTTTCTTTTACAATTCGGTCACTTTCACTCTTACAGGTTCCTGTCTCGAGTATGGACATTCATGTTGGGGTGGTGAGTATACATATATTATATAATGTATATGTACATATTTATGTAGATTTTTTTTCGCATTTCACTTAACAACAATTTTCCTTTTTAATAGCGCATGGGAAACGTTCTAGTGGTCCAGCAATCGCTAGCGGTAAAGCTCAGCGTCAATTGAATGCATTGGATGAAGATAACTCAAATCGATTTGGAACAAACAAAGTGAGCTTAAATAAAAAATAATAAACTCGAAACACTTTTTATTTAAAATTTGTCGGGAAATAGGGTAAAACTACTTTCTAATCTCAATATGAAATATCATCGGTCCATAAATAATGAATTATAAATAAAGTCTTCTATGGGTTGTTCATTCAAGAGCTTTTGAATCCAAAATCCTATTTGGTGCAGTGGAAAACAGAAATTTATTTTATGCTCGTTAATTTCAGTATGCCTCTCACAAATGTATCAAGGTCTCTACGTTGCACATAGTAAGGCTTCTTATCATCTTTTTCTTCACTGGCGTAGACACCGCTGACGCGATTTTAACTGAATCCGCAATAGCGTACCATTCCTTACCTGTTCTGTGTCGCTCCACTGGATGGGAGTGGAGGTCTTATTCTTTCTCCGCTTCCAACAACGGGTACTGCATCGAATACTTTAAAAACTTTAGCGCTTTCATCCATACGGACGACATGAAGCCAGCAAAGCCGTTGTAGGTTTGTAAATGCCACCGTATAACTCGTACAAAGTATAGATCCATTGTTTACGGAATCCGCCGCTGCCAATATGCAAAGTACCAAAACCTTTCCCTCGACGACTCAGATCTCGACATCGTCCGCGTTTTACGCCATATAGCAGGGCGGCAAACGGACAATCGCTATTCGAACGTTGAAATAGTCGAGTATTGAAACGTTTTTTCCATCAAGATCGATTGTGGCTTACCATCTCCGGCTGTTGTACTTTTACTGTCATTCGGCAGGCTGGAGAAGAGTTACTTCCATACAGCAAGTATGCTCAACAGATTTCCACTTTGGCTCCTACATGAGTATGTTCCGGTCTTGAAAGCTTGTCTGAGTCACCGCATCTTTTCATATAATTTTGGAGCGTTACCCTTGTCGGTCAGTTTATCTACCTCTTCATACTCACGCAATTCCGCTTTTTTTTTTGGTCTACAAATGCGTCTTTCTCCTCTCTCCAGATCTCGATATCCCACTCCCTGACACGTTCCTGTGTTACAATTCCTTGTGTTGCAGCTCCTTTTTACCTTTCCGATAACCAAAGTTTCATTTGCAGATTTTCATCCCCTTTCGCAAATCTGCTAATGGCTGGTCTCAGTAAGCAAGTGTGCTTTGCTACATAGGAGCGAGTACGTAACATCGCTGCGACAAAACAGTCATCCGAGCCGTTGGTGAGTGGTCGAACTTAGAAACATCTATAAAACTGGAAACATACCTTCCGTAAACCACAACACCATCAATTAGATTGGTTGATCTCTGATGCAGCTACACCAAAAGATCTAAATGAATTCTCTTGTGCTGGAATTTAGTACCACAGACAACCATATTTTGGGCTCCGTCGAAGTGGATCAGCTTTAGCCTGTTTGTGGATGTTTCGTTGTGAAGGCAGAATTTTCCAACAATTGTACCAAATATACCTTCTTTGTTCATTGCCGCGGGAGCAGCACTCACAACCGCATTCTAGGCGCTCATAAAAATCCTCTTTGGTCACATCGTCCTTCCTTTCCTTTATATGACCGTTGTAAGGAGTCTCTTATCCGAGGCTTTGTTCGATCTTTCATTGGAGTCTTTTCAGTCGCATCGGAGTTCGGCTTCTCTCTTTAGCTCGCTTCCAAATGGACGTTTGTTCGCTAACCAGTGAATACTTGCTCTAAGACCGGAAGTCGTGAGCTGCTTGACCCATAATTAAAAGAATCTTACCTGGCCACTTTTATATGAATGGTAGCCTTAGAGCTAGATTAGAGGCCTTTCAAAGGGTGAAGAAAATTTTAATGACGAAGAAATATATCACATATTTTTGCATGTCAACTTCTTATCTTTTTTTATTTTTCTCTCACAGTTTGACTTCGACGAGACTCTCACATCCGCTGAATTTTCACCACACATACCAGCGAGCGCAGAGGATCTGCCAATCGAACTTAATGATTCCACGAAATTGCGTAAAAACAACAACATTGAACAACGGCATTTGAGATTCCCCCTACAACTCGGCACCACCGACAATAATAACTCACCACCGATGGAAAAAGGCAACCGTCAAAGCGAACCAATTGATTCGCCAGAGCAACGACAGCATTCACTGCAGATACAACAACAACGCAAGTATCCACAACACATTGAACGTTGGCATAAGTTCCCCTTACTCGGCTTACGACGAATATTCGGCAAGTCACCTCTGGCATTGTCAGATGCAGCAGCTGCTGCAGCACTCGAACTCTCCACACGAAATACTGAAAATGATTTACTACAACAATTGGCAGGCGGCAGATTTGATGATGTTGGCGTTTATTATGACTTTCAATAATAGAATTAACAGAGAGGTTGCTGGGAGATGAACGTACTACTGATGTAACGATTGATTAAAGGCTGCATAGGCACACACACACACACACACACACTCACACAGAGAGATAAACGCAGACGCACACTGTTAAAAAGTGACAAAAAAAAATTTGAATTCCTACTTCTATTTAAATGTAAATTATAAGAGGACAACAAAATTTATTTCGAAAATTATTGATGAAGGATACCCAAAACAACAACAAAGTTTGGTAGTTGTTTTGAATGCATGTAAATGTGCAAAGCTGAATAGGTAAAAATATATATTATATTATGACAAATTTAAAAGGCTCTAAATGTAAACATTTTATTATAAGAAAAATTAATTTACGCATTTTAACGGTTGCACTAAGCCTGTACGAGTATTTGATTGTTGAAGACTCTTTCGAAAAAAAACTAATTATATAATATAATTGTATTTTATAGTAGACATTTAATTGAATTTTATGTAATTTATTGCAACATTACGATCAGGTTACAGATTCTACGAAAATCATGAAACAAAATCACTCTCCAATTGTTTGTGAAAATATTGATGCAATGGGCTGGATGCATCAATATTATTAACGCTTGAAAAATAATTGGATTTAAATAAAGAACAACTTCTACATACTTACATATAAGTATAAGCAAATATGAGTTTAATATTGAATTGACAAGCTGAGAGATCCATCTGTAAATCATCAACAGTTGATTGACGCGTTTTCACTTTTCCCCTGCCTGCATTTCTTTGAAAAATCCCTTGTTGTTGAGTTAAAATTGAGTCTCTTACTCATGCCATCTCTCAATTTATTTGGTAATAGTTATTTTAGTTTATAAGTTTATCAATTACCAACGACGCAAACGTATTTAGTTCTATTCTAAATGAAAATTTCCCGAGAGATTTCTTATTTTTCCTAAAATCCCTTATTAAAAAAAAAAAAAAATTTGCTGATCTCGTTCTTTATCCTTTTTTCGTATTCCAAACAAACGTCGAGAATGGGGAAAAATTCCTAGCGGAAAAAGTTGGCATCGCCATTGCGGAAAAAAAATCAAATAATTTCAATATTCCACGAGAGTATTTTACACAGAAGTTGTGTCGGAGTTTTTATAAAAAATTTAAGTATTTAATAAATATAAATCGCATAAATTGCATTAATGGTTTATTTTCACACATAATCTTATTAATGGTTTCTTAAGGTCAGAAACAGCGATTAAAGTACAATTGCTGTTGCTAGTGGAGCTAATGGAAGCTCAACCGGTTGTAGCTCGAAGATTGTTTAAGAGTAATGGGTAGGAGTTGAAACAATTTTGGGAGATGGTGAGTAGTGAACTAAATACCGCAAAACCGCCTCAAAAAAATATTGTGGAATAGAAGAAGGTAAAATTTATTTTCCAGAAAAAGGCGATTTTTTAAGTACGCATTTCACTTTTAGGTGTAGACTGATCAAAAGAAATACATGCGACTCAAAACTTGAAATCACGGCAGGAGGTGGCCCTAATGCAGAGTGTAAATTGTCCCCTCCCGATGAAGCGAAATTGAACCTCATTGGGTTGAAAGAGTCGATGGAAGGGTTACCTGCGAATAATGCAGGAACAGGAAACCTTGCCAAACGACAAGGATATTTGCCTTGGTCTAGAATTTATCTACGTTGAAGAAGAATTCGTAATTCTTATTTAATTTTTGCCTTCAATAAAAACTGTTTATTTCACCAAATTATAAAATGTCAATAATACTAAGCAGCTGATTTCGAATGAGAAAAAAATCCTACTCCCAAAAAATCAGTCTCCCTGTGCATTTAGAAATAAATGGTGGATTGTTTATAAAGCGAGAATTTCCGCGAGAATATTTAGAACTGGTCTGATTACGAAACCTGCGGAATAGGTGGACAACCAGTACAGGACACTAAGAAAATATGTTCCCGCTGAATATGCTCTTGGAATCACAAAAGAAAAATCGCAATTCCCGCAATAATACTCTCACACATGGCGCACCCTCTCACTCAACAGTCGGCACTTGTTAATTCGAAATTCGCGGGACTTTTAAAATATTACAACTATCGAGGGTTCAATATATAAAAAGGCTCGAAATTATTGAGAGAAAGAAAGAAAATAATATTGAGAAATAAAACTTCGAATTATTGAGTGTTTATAATCTATTATTATTCAATAATTGGAATTCGGCAATGAAAAAGTTAGGCGGTCCATATATATTCATATTGTGAACTAATAAATAAAATTTCGAAAGAAACCTTTTGCTCCGTCTGCTCAACAATTTTTTTTTAAAAGAAAAAGGCCTGAAACTTTTTCACCACTTTCGTTTTGTATACATAAGCTTTGTAAGGTGATGGTAGCTATGAAAGGTAAGGAATTACACTCTTGCTTCGTTAATTGACATCACCGTAGCATTTTCATATATTAATATCTGTGGCAGATATATATGGTCATGGGTTAGTGAAACTGAGACACCAACATTTTTAAGCATTGTAACAAAATCAGGAAAACTAAAACCGCTTAATTAACGATTCTATTGCTGGTTTGTCATCATCCGTAATTACTGGCAGATTTTCATGACCTTCTATTATGTAACCAGAATTTTTATGTAGTTTAGAATCGTTACAGATCGCCATGTTTTACCAGAAAATGTTGTTTTCACGATATTTCGAGTATTTAACTGCGGAACTAAAATGTCGTTTTGTTTGAAGCGATCATTTTAGTTTCAAATATTAGGAGATTTTATAAAAAACAGGTTTCAATTGACGAGAGTTGACTGTGTGGCATTCATTATAAGTTACCAAACTGAGAGTTTCTATATGATATTTACAGCGAATGGGTTAGAAATTTTAAAATTTGAGATCATCGATCCAATATCCATTTATTTAATGTTCAAAAAATTATATACAAAAACAAAAATATTTGAGCAAATGAAGAGAAGAGAGGTAAAGGGATAGTAATCTGAAGGTCAGGGAAATGAGCGAAATTTTTCAGGACAACCCACTAAAATGAGGCGAACAGTTTCTTCGTGGCATTGGACGTGAGTGGTAAGTGATTCTTTTGGGCATCCGAGGATTCCTGCGATTGTTCCGTGTAGTAGAAATCTTGAAATTTCATCCACAGTCAACCTGAGGTTATGGCGTCGCACTAAGCCAGCACTAAGCTAGCTACTATGTTGATGGTAATAAGATTAGAATTCGATCTGAACAAAAATTCAATACTTTAGAAAAATCTTTCTACAAAGAAATGATCACACCTCTGCAGGCAGTTTCAACACTTCCGAGTGTATTTCGAACAAAAAATAAAAAGTACCTCATAAAAAGACATCAGCCGATCGGAGGCTGCTGAGAAAGCATTTCAGTTATCTCCACTTACTGGGAAAAGCTTTAAACACACAAAATTGGAAAAGAAGCTCGAGCGAAAGTCGCTACAAAATATTGGGTTGCCCAAAAAGTAATTGCGGATTTTTCATATAGTCGGCGTTGACAAATTTTTTCAACGGCTTGTGACTCTGTAATTCTTTCTTCTGTCAGTTATCAGCTGTTACTTTTAGCTTGCTTTAGAAAAAAAGTGCGCGAAATTTTGTTTACATTTGTAAAACGCGGAGCAGGTTGCTAAAAAGTTACGAGATGTGTATGGTGATGAAGCCTTAAAAAGAAGACAGTGTCAAAATTGGTTTCGCAAATTCCGTTCTGGAGATTTTTCACTTAAAAATGAGCCACGTTCAGGTCGGCCAAATAAAGTTGATGATGACCAAATCAAAGCATTAATTGAATTGGATCGTCATGTAACTGAGCGTGAGATAGGAGAGAAGTTAAATATACCAAAATCAACCGTTCATTATCACATAAAAAGTCTTGGACTGGTGAAATAGCTCGATATTTGGGTACCACATGTATTGAAAGAAATTCATTTAACACACCTAATCAACGCTTGTGATATGCACCTTAAACGCAATTAATTCGATCCGTTTTTAAAACGAATCATAACTGGAAATGAGAAATGGATTGTGTACAACAACGTTAGTCGAAAACGATCATGATCCAAGCATGGTGAACCAGCTCAAACCACTTCAAAGGCTGATATCCACCAAAAGAAGGTTATGCTGTCTGTTTGGTGGGATTGGAAGGGTGTCGTATATATTGAGCTGCTTCCGAGGAACCAAACGATTAATTCGGATTTTTACTGTCAACAATTGGACAAATTGAATACAGCCATCAATGAGAAGCGACCAGAATTGGTCAATCGTAAAGGTGTCATATTCCACCTGGACAACGCTAGACCGCACACATCTTTGGTCACTCGCCAAAAACTGAGTGAGCTTGGCTGGGAACTTTTGATGCATCCACCATATAGCCCTGACCTTGCACCATCAGACTGCCATTTATTTCGATCTTTGCAGAACTCCTTAAATGGTAAAACTTGCGGCAATGATGAGGCTATAAAATCGCACTTGGTTCAGTTTTTTGCAGATAAAGGCCAGAAGTTCTATGAGCGTGGAATACTAAATTTGCCAGGAAGATGGCAAAAGGTTATCGAACAAAATGGCAATTATATATTTGATAAAAAATCATTCTAAGTCTTATTAAAAATGCATTTACTTTCTTTTAAAAAATGCGCAATTACTTTGTGGGCAACCCAATAGAAAATGTTGTTGTACATATAAGAAAAATATTTTTCTTTAAGAACATCGCCTTATCGTATTAGAATTACTAATTGCTGTTATGTTATGTAAATGAAAATTTGTTTAAATTGAAGTAAATAAAGATGAAAACTATAAGCTAATGGAGTGCTAAGTGCAAGTTTTATTTAAAAATCTACCTTCTCTAGTCGAATAAATTTACCAAAAAGCCTTTCAGACAGCCCCTTAATTAAGTCAATTAACTCCTTTGCATTGAAATTTCGATATTGACTCATCTAAGAAGCTCTCTAGAGTTTTTGGCCTCTAGAGACTTATAAAAAATCGTATATCATTTTATTTATAATACAATATGTAATACAATACCGTTACTGCGTTAAAATCGGTAAAAATCTATCACAATTAAACAATTTAGCATTTCTTACATTAACACACACATCCATATGTTTTAACCCACAGCATTGCTCTGCCAACTGTTTCCCACTTACGACTTAATTTTCGCTGGTATTTGGAAGCATACAGCATCACCTTGCTTGTCACCCAAACCCCAGTGAATGACCAAATTCACAGTTGGATAAATTGGTAATATCTTGAAGCTATTCTTGTAGGTATATGTTTCGCCGGCTTTTAGGGGGCAGCCCACCTTATCCTTACCCTCCGCATCGTAGATGTAAGGACAAGCGCTGGTGCCATAATAGCCGGGGAACGGTAGTGGTACGTCCAAAATAATACCCTGTATGTCAGAATTGAGCTCGGCAAAGTCGCGTTCTGGCTTAATTGTCATCTCTATGCTGGCCTCGGTGTTACGCTTGAGTGTGCATTTATTTTTCGGACAACTGGAGATGGTCACTTCGTCTGCGGTGAGAGCGCGTGCAGCGGCTGCAGGAACATGCAGAAAAAATTTATTTAAATTTAAAATTAAATTTATTTATTGAGAAGAAATATATATATTTTACTCACATTTTGGACATTTTCTCACTTCAGTGGCATTTGCTAGTGCCAAGATGACAACGAAAATGGAGAGTGCGCTCGTGTAGGACTTCATAGTTATGGATTTCCTTTGCTGGTTTTAGTAACTGAAAATATAAGAGATATAATAAAATAATTGATATTTAATAACGGAAAATAATTTAAAGTATGTTTATAAGAGTGAATTTGTTTCTGCTAAGTAGTTAATATAATGGTAGTGGCGGTCGCAATAGACGATTTGTCGGCGTTGCATACTGCCATTCGAAAGGCAGGTTCGAGTTCTGGTTCGATATATGTCCAGGAATTAAAGCAAATTAATTTTTCTAATTATGGCAGGGTGTATTTCCTTACAAAAATCTTACCGCCTTTCCAAGGCAACTCAAAATAAAGTGGTTATACCTCCATTTGTTGGAAAAACATCAAGATGCAAATCAGAAATTGGAAGAGGAGCTGGAGAGCTTTCATCTATTCAGGCGACATAAGCAGCGTAGCCGTTTATGCACGAGGTGTGTTCAAAAAGTATCACGTGTTACGTATAATCGAATTTCGATTTTTTTGTGGCGTTATGTTGGTACTCATGTCTGTCACTTATGCCGACAAGCTCGGCCATTTTGAATGTTCACTTAATTGTTGACAGCTGCTTTGCTTGCACGTGTTTTGGATGGTCTTCGATTTTTACCTATTCAAAAAAATGGATCAAAGAACCTGTATCAAATTTTGTGTGAAAAACGAAATCCGCGCACCTAGGATGCATTCCGAATGCTGACTGTGGCATACGGAGAAGCTACCTTGGACCGAAGCAACGTTTATCGGTGGTACAAAATGTTCTCAGAAGGCCGAGAAGATGTCAACGACGAAGAGCGTGCCGGACGCCCGAGCACTTCAACAACAGACGAAAAAATTAATGAAGTGGAGAAAATGGTATTGGCCAGTCGTCGAATCACCGTTAGAAAAGTTGCTGAGGACCTAAACATGGTTATGACGTGGAAACCAAAGCTCATTCATCTCAATGGAAGCTGCCGCACGAATCAAGACCGAAAATGCGCGCCAAGTTCGGTCGAATGTGAAAGTTTTGCTGACAGTTTTCTTCGATTGCAAAGGTGTGGTGCATCATGAGTTCTTGCCATAGAGTGAGAACGTTCAATAAGGAATATTACCTGCAAGTTATGCACAATTTGCGCGTAGCAATCCGCCAGAAACGCCCGGATTTATGGAAGAACAAAAATTGTCTTTTGCACCACGATAACGACCCTGCTCACACATCGTTGCTTGTGCGCGACTTTTGGCCAAAAACAACACACTAATGCTCCTGCAGCCGCCGTATTCCCCAGATCTGAAGAGGCCCATGAAAGGACGACGTTACGCTGCGATTGACGAGATAAAGTCGGTATCGAAGGAGGAGCTGAACAAGATAAAGGAAATGATTTTTTGAAGTGCTTCGAATATTGGAAAAACCGTTGGCACAAGTGTATAATATCTCATGGAATTTACTTTGAAGGGAACAAAATGGATATTCATGAATAAATAAATAATTTTTGAAAAAACACAAAATTCGCGATATTTTTTGAACACACCTCGTAATAATGTTTGTCTGCGGTTATCACCAATGATGACAGAAGATTCTACCTTCTCTATGCAGCTCTGCAACTCATATTATTTTCTCCAGTAATAAATTAAAAAAGTCACCTTATCTGAAACCTCCTTTGGTATCGATCATCATTCTAGCGAAAAAGGATACTACCTGAAAATATTCCAGGCTGAACAGAGCAGAGCTAACTCCTAAGAAACACTATGATTTTCTTACTATAACATTTTGCAGTTGGAGGTTTATATAGTGAGGAAAACAGCTGTAGTAATTATGATCAAGGGAAACGCAATCTCACAGGAAGAACAGCAGACGCAGACGTCGCAGTGATGCAACTGTATAACTACTGTGATTCAGGACCCCAGAGTATTGTGAGGAACGTAAAGGCTGATGATATTGTGAAAAATCGCCTGTTGCAAAACGTCGACAAAAAGAGTAATACTAACAATAATACATATAGAAGGAGGAGAAGTCTGAAAGTTCGATATCAAGAACACTCTCAAACTTCGTAAAACTGTCGTTCTAAATTAGATAATAAACAACTTACATGCGTCCGAACCGATGAGTTAGATTTGGAGGCTTATACTCGTGCTTTATGACGACTATTTCATCTGGAATAAACTTGAACTTTCAATCAGCACTACAAAGACCCAAGAGGTATTATGTATAGACTAGCAGCCAGATAACCATTATTATACTTTCATTTACATGAAATGTTAAATCAACTTTGGTCCGAAGTAAGTAAGCTCTAGATGGGTCAAAAACCGGTTAAAAAAGCAACTACTCGTAAGAGAATGAAATTTTGCATTCTGCACGCGTATATACGAACAAACATTGTTATCGAAAATCGCCGTAATCGATATTTTTCAGAAATGAGTTTTTGTGTCAAAAATCTAGGAAACATCTGCATGCCCGTATTTCCTAGACTAAGTATACCCCTATTATATCTGTATATATAATTTGCGCTTTGTAACCGCTGAAGCGATTTTCCGCCGAGTTCCTCCCATCAAATGGAGGGACCTACAGTTTATACTAAGCCGCCTCAGAATGGCTGAAGGTTTTTTCATGAGGAGCTTTGTTAGGGACGCTTAACAAACGGATAGATATTATTTTGTTTCGCTCAGCAGTAGAAATTAACTTGACGAAATGAAATCGTTAACGTTGAAACCGTTCAGAACTCTGAATTTGAAATGACCGCTTGCTTTGATTTAACAGATCACTTCAATTTAAACGTTAACATTATCTGTTATCGATATAACATTAACGATAACTTTTCGTTTCTGGTAAATAATGTTAAAATTTCCAAACGTTTCAACTAAGATGATAGACATTTTTCGATTAACGTCAATTTTATCGTTACGATGCAGCCTTGATAGAAATTTATTGCAAATTTCATTGAAAATTATTATTTCCTTGTTTTTTGTTTGCGGTTTTGATAATAAATTGAAACTGGTTTTCTTTTACTGCTACCTAGAACTTATCGAAGTTAATTGCGCTTTTGTAAGTAATGTTGTAATAAATAAGTGATAAGTAAATATATTTCTACACAAACATTACAGTGCGGTTATTAACGATTTTTTAGTTCTAAGCCACAATTGTTGGTGAGTGTAAGCAATTGTTAATGCAATATTTCACGGAAGCCAGTCTGCCTGCTTGGCATTTCCTACAACTTAATAAAAAAATAATATTCGTGCGGAGTTAATGTTAAAACAGCTTAAATTGTAAATTTTAAATTTTGAACATGAGATGTTAAGTCACATTTTAATGGTGTTTCTTGAATTATTTTGACTGCCTTTCTTGTATTGTTTCGCATTTCTGCTTCTATTATTTTTAACGTCAATGTACTAATATATAAACCGCATATACATATGTACATTTATAGTTGAATATTTACAGCTATAGACATGGCATGTGTGTACATTATTATCGTAAATTTAAGATTTTGAAATGAGCTGTTGATGAAAAAAAAACTACACAAAAGCAAAAACAAAACAAGAGATGCGCAAAAAGTGTCATTTATGTAAAATAATTTTTACATAAGTTTTATTTTCGCAGTAAAAATATTTGCATATACGTGTATATATTACATATTTTGCACAGCTTTTTATTATATTTTTGTTGTGGAAATTGCATTAATGGTTAATGTAACTTCATGAGTGCGCAAATCATATATATATAAATATTAAGTACATACGAGGGTGGTTTGATAAGTTGGTGACTTTTTGAAGAAAATAATTCTTTTTTTCGGTAAATAGGCTTTTTATTTCTCAACACAATCTTAGTCCAGCGTTTATAGAATTTTTGTATTCCTTCCAAATAATAGGCGTTTTCAAGGCTCTCAAACTAGGCGTTTGTTTCCGTGATGACCTCTTCATTTCACCAACAGCCATTTATTCAGATTTGGAAATAAGAAGTAGTCGCAGATAGCTTAATCTGGAGAATATGTGTGATGTTTGATGGGGGAGCGGCTTGCAACCGTGCTGAGCCCTGATAAATCAGCACTTGTTTCACCAAATGTAGCCTTTCCAATTAATATCGAAGCTGTCCAATAACAATGATTGTTCGCCGGTGATCATTTCATACTCTTCAAGGTAGTCGATGTGAATGACACCTCTTGTATCCCAAAAAAAACTATGGCTATGACCTTGTTGGCCAATAGACAGACCAGACCGACCTTGCGTTCTTTGCTGCACCTTAACCAGGCGGAACTCACTGTCTTAGTATTCTATGGTCTCTAGTGTAGCGTACCGTAGTCGATTGCAATGAAACGGTGCAAAAGTTCGTTTGGGTTGCGCTTAACGTCGCCAAATGCTCCTTTGAAGTAGTTACACGATTGCGTTTATGATCGTGTGTGAGCATCGTGCGAATGTCAAAAAAAAAAATCTTGTAAAATGTGATGTACCTTTTCAGCTAAGATGCCCACTCAAGCACATTTATTCCTCGATTATCCAATATCATACGTCGTATTTTATTTATGAATTCTTACGTGACAATTTATTTTGGTCGACTTGAACCTCCGGCGTCACTTGTACTTTGTACGATCACAATGTCACTCCGTAAACCATTTTTTAACCATTGAAATTGATTATGCAGAGTCTTCACAATATTTATCAAGTCTTTTCTGGGTTTCGGTAATGGTCAGTGCTTATCAAACAGCCCTTGTTCGTGTGTATGTATGCAAACCTGCCAGTTCAATTATCTATTTCGACACCACAAATCACTTCATTTGCAATGTCAGAGCTTTTCAGGGTATTTTGAACGCATTCCATTAATTACGCTAATCAAGTGGATGAGTAACAATTTTTGTCGTAAATTCACAAATATTTTTATGTATTTTTTACTTTCATTCCTTTAGTGTTTTTTTTTTGCATATTTTTCCCGTTCGATATAAATTAAAATAAAATTAAATAGTTATTTACTTTTTTTAATTGTATTGTAAGATTACTACGTTAACCATTGTTTAATTATTATTGTTATTGTTGTTGTAAAGGCTATCCAAACCCTACAAGGGGCAGGCGAGCGTAGGCTCAAATCATCGAGGTAATCTGACGTGAGGCCCAGAAAAGGAACGAATGGAAGTTCGGACCAGAAAGAAAGAGGGTTAGATGAGTAGGTCTTTGAAAGCATGCAGAGAGGTGGTTAGTGTGGGTCGGAGGTCTCATTGTATGAATAAGTAGGAATTAAGTCACCTACAATAAATTTGTTATTATTACTCGGGTCTCTCCGTAAATGGGATATGCTCAGTACGCCGTCCTGCCCAGCGGCTCTTGCATGTGGTGCTGACTTTAGCTCTTGTAGTCAAGTACTTTTTTTCTGATGTACCTATGTGGTGTCTCGGCTTCAGGTAAATGTCTGTAGTTAGGTAAGGACATGTCTCAACAGTCCCACTAGAACAACGCAGAAGAGTAAATTCTAAGTGGTGCACAACCATTTGTTTCCCCTTTGTTTTTAATAAATCAGAAAAACCAACCACCAAAGACGCACTTCACCACAACAATGTGACTTCTTATTCATTATCGACTGAAACAACTGTATTTTCGTCAACTCAAAACATTGATTTGAGGAGGCATCCAGCGTATAGTCTGGACTTGGCATCGAATTATTTCTTCTTACTCCCGTACGTAGAAAATAACCTAAGGGGTTTTGCAGATACCTGAAACATCAAACGCACGCAAAAGTGTTTAGATCTTAATGGAGAATATTTTGAAAAACATTAAAGTGATTATCGAGGCTTTTGATTTCTAAACCCGTTATATAAATGGCAACCCTCTTAAGTAGTGTATCTGGGAGCAGTATGGCCAACACATCGTCTAAGTGATACCCCAGTACTTTATATTTCATGTACTTAAATTTCATGTAACTTTAATTTCCTGCTCATTTTTAATTTTTTTTTTCAATCTTCTTCAACTAAAAAAAATGCTGTTTTTAATTATTAGCTAATTTGATGCTATTTATCAAGTAAATAAGATTTAATTTGAAATAATAATTTTAATAAATTGCTACCAGAGATTTGTATGCATATATATATACATACACACATACATATATACATATATTAAATACTTGTTTAGTATATGTTTAGTATGTCGATATAGCTGTGATCGGGCGAGTTTGCAATCTTTACCTTTTTTAATAAATATTTTTATGTAAATTTTTGTTTTTAATATTTTAACGGTTGCCTCAACTTATAAACGCTCTGCTGCTGTTAATGGCTCAGTATAATAAGCTATATAAAACTTTATTTACTTTGTATATATGTATTCACAAATGCACAATAATTGTGTTTTTGATTTTTTTTTATAAAATTCTGCTGAAATGCGCGGTATTATTTCATTAAATATTTTATAGTTTTCACTTATTTTCAATTTATTTCATTTAACAAATGCGCAACGGTGCCGGTAGTGTTTTTATTTAACACTATTCACTTAATTTTTATACATATGTATGAATATATGATGTGGTTTTGTAAAAAAAAACGAAAGACTTAAGACACACACGCGCTCCCTCATAGCCAGCCAAACAGTACGGACTGTTGAATGAATTCAACTGAAATCCACAAATCAGTGAGTTGAATATTTATAGACGATAATAGAAGTTGGCTTACATATATGTACATACATATATTCATACGCTTGCATATACCAATATGCCGATATGTATTTACGAATATATACACATTTTTTAGATGTTCCAAACAAACTGCGTTCGAACTATGAGCCCATCAAAGTGGTTTGATTACTCATTTGAGCACAAAAATTGTATAACATATATACACGCATACATATTTAACTATGTAAATGCCATAAGCGATGCAATCAGCTTATCGCCGGTAAATCTATGAAAATGCATACGGACTGTATGTTAAAGAGAAAAGTTGGTAAGAATGAAGGCGTGAGAAAAGAAAGGAAAACCAAATGTAAAGCAAAAGAAAAGTATAAAACCAAATATGCATACATATGGACATAAATAAATACATATTATATATATGAATATTTTGTATATTTTTTATTGAAATAAAAAAATGGTTTATTAATTATGGGCAAGTCTTGTATGTTGTAAATCATTTTTATGTAAAATTAAAATGCATTAAAAATCAAAAAAATTGTAAATCTTCTATAACTCATGCACTTACATATATATTAGTCTATAATTAATTTGCTTATAATTTATATTCCTATTTGTTGAGTCATTATGGTTACCTTACGATACTTTGTTGTAATTTAAAAGTTCATTTTTTAGTTTATTGTTCATTTAAATGTTCATAAAATATATGTGAATTGCTTTCATATTGTGTAAGTAGCGAGTAGAAAGAAAAAACATTTATGAAACTAACCAATCCCTCATGCTTAGGGAAACCCGTTTTCCAGTAGAGAAATATCGTTGAGGGCGTGTTGGATTTCAAAAATAATTTTTTTATTAAAAAAAATCTGATTTTGGAAGAGTTAAATAAAAAGAACAAAAAATATTGTTAATCAATAATTAAATTATTAACTCATTTAATAAATTTTGTTTTAATTAAATGTTTTTTTAATCGATTAACTTTGGTTTATTTGAATTGATTAATAAGAATTTAAATCACTAAACTGTTAAAAAAAAATATAGTTTAATTAATTTAATTTATTTATCGATTTTGCGATTGTTCAGAGTCCGTTAACTAAAAAAAGTGAAATTTATCAGGTCTACAACTTTGCTTCCGCCGCTTTTTTCCAAAATTATAAGCTTTTTTTGCGAAAAAGTGCTTACAGACATATTATTCGAAGTATTGTCCCTTCGCTAGCGACAACTTTCTCCCATCTTTCCGGCAATTTTCGGATCCCGGCTCGAAAAAAGGAGTTTTGACGCTATCCATGAAGCAATCCATTTTTCCAATTCTTCGTCGAAGGATTGAAAATATTGATCTGCCAGGCCGTGTGCCATCGAACGGAATAGGTGGAAGTCAGAAGGGGCGACATCTGGGGAATACGGCGGGTGGGGCAAGACTTCCCATTTCAGCGCTTCTAGGTACTTTTTGACCACTTTTGCGACGTGAGGCCGAGCATTGTCGTGTTGGAGGATGACTTTGTCATGTCGCTCTTGATATTGTGGCCGCTTTTCTTTTAGCGCGCGACTAAAGCGCATCAGTTGCGTTCGGTAGCGATCTCCTGTGATGGTTTGGCACGAATCTTCATCAAGCAATGTTTTCTAGTTGTTCATCATTGAAGGTTTTTTCTCTTCCACCACCGTGTTTTTCTTCGACATCGAAATCACCATTTTTAAAACGTTGAAGCCACTCCCGACACGTTCTTTCACTCAGAGCAGCATCACCGTAAGTTTCTGAGAGCATTCGATGCGCCTCAGCTGCATTTTTTTTCGAATTGTAACAGAAAAGTAAAACTTCCCGCCAATGGCGAGAATTAGACGCATAAACGGACATTTTAGAGCGTGAATAATACGAAAACAAGAACAACTGTCACTGAAACGGCACTGTCCACACTCACTTTAAAGGCATTATCATCTATGTATTTCAACCAGCCTCAGCCGGTATAGCCACCTATCGGAAAACGGCGGAAGCAAAGTTGTACACCTGATTGGAATTATATAAAATTTTTTCCAAATTTTTAAAGCCATCTATTTATTACTTGAACGATTTTAAGAAAATAAAATGTTAATAATATTTATATCTACAGTAAATTTATATTTTCGGACAATAATCCTTTGTATAAAAATTTTTTGTCCGTTTGGAAAGATCAAGTAATCCAAAAGTCTCGAAAAGTTATCGACCGATTGACGTGAAATTTCGTCAGATTGATTGTAAGGTTCCTGGGACGATTTATGTGAACTGACCTTTTCGAAAAAATCTTAGATTAATAGCACGACTACACTACTACTATTGAAAAACCATAAAGCGATTTTCGATGGTTAATATTTGTTTTTGTGCCCTAATCTCGAAATATATAATAAAGGGCACCCCTCGTATTACTATTGTTTACATAAATAATTTTACACGCAATTAAGAAATATTTGTTCTATTTATTCTTTAAAATTCACATAATGCATATAATAAGTACAATAGTTCTCAGCGTAACGCTTTGAATATTTAGCAAATTTCAAAGTCAATATTGTTAGCAAATCATAGTTGAAAAATCTTTTCAAGGTTTTTGTTAAGCGTTCAAATGGATGAAAATAAAAGTTGACTGAATGCAAATATTCATATTTTTTTAACAAAACTTTTTGGTAAAAATATTAATATTTTCATATCCCATATGACGAACAAAGGAAAAAATTTATTAAATCTCAATAAAAAGGGGGTATTTCAGAAATATGTCTTCAGATCGTAATCAGCGACCCAGACATTTTTATGTTTTGTTCACATTTTTTTCCTGCGCCTCTAGATATAAACACACTGCCTGCTCTAAGGGTATATGCGCTTTTTCTATATAACAACTAGCAGACCCTTCCACACGCTGTTGTGGCTTTCTGCATTATGTATAATTTTTTTTCATTGATATTGCAAAGAATGACAGAAATCCCTTATCAAGCTTCATATAAAGATCAATAATAAGTTTTTTTTATTATATTCAATCAGATCTATGCTTGAACGTATAAGAATAGCCTGTAACCCGTAGCCGCAGAATAATTACATTGCGCAGCGAACATACTTACTCACGATCTATGCTTGGCATACAAATTTTTTTACCAAAAACTGGGGGAAAATTTTTTTTTGGTTGAACAAAAAATAGGAGTTGCTGATGGAAGGGTGAGAATTTAGGGTTATAAGTATTTTGTCACATCATATAACAATTAAAAAAAAATATTACTTGGGGGTGTGAAAAATAGATGTTATGTTATTCTCAGACCTACTAAAACTTCATTAAAATCGGTCTAGCCGCTTTGGAGGAGTGTCTTGTCTAACACTGTGACACGAGCATTTTATATATTATATTAGATCGTAAGCTTAAAATTTTGAATCGACGCCACAGACATAATTTTCGCTATTTGCCGGCGCTCTACGATGTTTCTCATGAAAATCTTAAGCGTTCACGAAGTTAACCGAGCCAGCAACCCGAAGAGGTTTACTTGAGGTAAGTGAATATGACAGCTCTATGCCTTAGAGAGTAACTGTATGTGTGTCCTGCCAAAACAGAATATAACTATACTGGAACATATGCAAAGAGACCAAATGTAGATATTTGCTTTAAGCATTCGAACTATGGTTAGCGCTTTGGCTCAAATTTCAACATATGAGCATTTAAAGAAAGACAAGCCAAGGAAAGGCAACACAGCCAGTTCGCATTGTGAGAATTTCTATTTTAACTTTTCAATTTCAAGTGGTAATAGGTCAGACGGTATTTTATGTTGAAATCTATGAATCATGTCCCCTTTCGTATCCGGCTTAAATTTTTTCTTGCGTGGTGTTTCTTTGCGGTAGCACCTCAGCAGTTATTGCTTGCACATCCTAGTATAATGTTCTTTAATGCATAGCTTAGATGTTTCCCTGTGCAAAAGTTGTTCCGATGAATCCAGGAGGTTTCCTATCACTAAGAACGGTACATACCACTAGTACCCGGCATCCACAACGGATTAGCGTAATTTACTTTCGGCCGGCCGATTGCTATGAATGTTGTCAGCAACATTTCTTTGTTTTTTCTTCAGGTGCTGCCGACAAACATTTTGAGAATTTTTTTTGAAGCTCAGTACTTTTAGGCAAGTGTGGTCGAATGTGGAGGGAACGAGTGCAGACTGTTGAATGTGACGTCAACCACTTTCACATCAAGTACGAGCCGATACTCCAGCTCTCGAAGAGAGTGGCTGAGGATCTCGTAAGATGGAGATGTAGTTGTCATGTAGTGAAGAAATGGGGAAAGGTGAAAGTAGGAGATAGCAACTTACTTTCGAGCATGGGTTATGAATTGGTTATGACCAGACGCCAAAACCGAGCAACCAACGGCATTTGATTGCAGTGAAACGCACTCTGATGGAAGAAAGAGTTTCGATATGAAAAAATGAAACAGAAGCGGGGCTGGACTTCACCCTGTGGAACCACTTGCCTATACAGTTTGTAAGTTGTTTAAATTTTGTATACAACATAGCACAGTGTTGTTGGTGTTTCATACGAAAACTTAAGCGTATACACGATGGGCGTAGGAAAAAGCACGTCAGACACTACCGATTTGGACAAAAAATTCAGCTCACATAGTTTTAAAAATGCTCTTTGACTGTAAATTAATTAATTTTAATACATACATACACATGCACATAAT